TTAGCGGGTCAAATTGACCCTGACTTTTGTGTGAAAAATGACAAAATTTGTATTCTATGGCGCATATATTAACCCCTGAAGGACATAGACCCGGGAAGTTTATAATATATCCAAGAGGAATGGTTGACCTTTAAATTGATAAAATTGTATTGTCGTATGTACTCGGATGTGAGAGAAGGGCTGTGCTGGATATTAGTAATGTTTGTTGACTTGTTGAGTCGGTCAAGCGGGTGCAAATATCGCAAAATATTGCCCAAGCACAGAATGTAGTAACATAGAAAGTTATATTTTCGTGGAAGTTGTGTAGGGTATCATATGGTCGGCTCAGTCCGACTATACTGCTCAGCTCACTGGTTTAAAGAATATTTTTTCAAAAACCATCAAGATGTGTGTTTTTTAAAGAAAAATTTTTTCAATGACCAACAAGGCGTGGATTTTTTAAAAAATATTTTTTCAAGAACCTACAATAAGGCGTGGATTTTTTTAAGAATATTTTTTCAAGGACCAAAAAATCTTAGTTTTTTGAAAGAATATGTTTTATAGGACCGATAAATCGTGGATTTTTGAAAGCATAATTTTTCAAGGTCCATTCCATAGCAGGGATTTTTAAAAGATAATTTTTTAAGGGCCCTGCCAAAGCAGGGCTTTTTAAAATATTATTTTTTAAGAAGCAGGGATTTTTAAAAGATTATTTTTTAAGGGCCATTCCAAAGCAGGGATTTTTAAAAGATAATTTTTTAGGGACCATTCCAAAGCAGGGAATTTTAAAATATTATTTTTAAAGGACTATTTAAAAGCTGGTATTTTTAAAAGATTATTTTTTAAGGATCATTCAACAGCTGGGATTTTTTAAAGATTATTTTAAGGAATATTCCGAAGCGTGTTAAAAGAATATGTTTTATAGGACCAACAAATCGTTGATTTATGAAAGCATAATTTTTCAAGGTCCATTCCAAAGCAGGAATTTTTAAAAGATTATTTTTTAAAGAAATATTTTTTTCAAGGAATATTCCAAATGTGCATTTTAAGAAGAATATTTTTTCAAGCACCATTCCAGGCGTGAATTATTACAAGAATATTTTTTCAAGGACCATTCCAAGCTTGAATTTTTGAAAGAATATTTTTTCAGGAATTATAACTCTGAGCCATATATCTTTTGCTACATCGAATATGTGCCTAAACGAAATATTGGATAAGGATAATTTTATCATGAAACTTTTATTCAGGGATATTTTTGGAGGATATTCAGACCTCTATCCGGAGTTTAAGGACTTAAAAGGCTGTCAGGTCGAGAAGCGTGGACTTCACCAACAAAAGTATAAGCTTTAATTTTTGAGGATATGTTATTAAGGAATCCCAAAATCTTAGATTTTTATGATTTATTGGGGTTTCATTTTAAGTTTTTCCTGTAAGTAGACTTTATAGTTATCGATTATGTTCGCTGGGTTATTTATCTACACGCCACCACCTCTGTTCGTTCTTTCTATCCAATATTGTATCATGTATATTGCATAAATCTTTTGTCCTTTTAGACAACAAATTCTGTTCTCTTACTGTTCGTTTACGTTTTGTTTTATTTTCGCTATGACATTAAAGCAATATGAGAAACAACAACAAAAAATACCAAATGAAAATAATGTAGATGTCGTTGTAGTAGTCAGTAAATCACTATATTTTATCAGTAGAGAAAAAAAGTACAACACAACCTATTCAGGACCTTGATACGGAGACAAACATCCTGTTCATGTAGACATATGCCACACGGGTGTGTGTTTGTGTGACATTCTCATCATCTGTAGTTGAGTTTTATTACGACCATATGAATATTCTTCTCAAATGCTGCAGTGCTGGAAATGTTTGCAAAGACTTGCATTTCATTCATAAATCATAAAAATTTGCCATCCAACTGCAGCCGTATTCCAATGGGCGGGCAATGCGAATTTAGAGGGAAGGGGAGCAAACAAGTTTGATAAGTTCCAATGCAATGACTTAATATTGGAAATACCGAGGCGATGAACTGTGTATAATATGATATAATATCACCTTAGCCGGTTAAAGTTCTCAAATGCTTTGAAAGTTCAAAGGCTTTTAAATTATTTACTTAACAACAATCTGTTTTTAATATGAAACAAATTTATATATTTATATAAATCGGGATATGTCACATTTTAATCAATTTTAATTTTTAATAACAAATTAACAATACAATAAAATGTTCATATAAATATATGTATTTGATTGACAAACCTGAACATTTTATCGAATTAATATTGTTAACTGCGGTGCATTGATTTCAAAACATTTGAGTTTTGAATTTTGAAACATGCACATGTTTCTTGTTTTTGTTATATTTTTTGTAATATTACTGTGGCTATGTCATCGCTGGAATCATCGCCGGGTATTTCAAATGATGGATAAAGTTCCATCGTATAAATTACAAAAGATATTGGGATTTGGACCCATATGGACTCCAAAAAGTAAGTATTCGAATTTCTCAAACTATTGATTGATTAAGAATCACAAAAAATATTCGGTCATATTTGCTAAAGAAGATTTTTCCAAGGTCTATAACCAAAGTGGATTTTTGCAGAACGTGGATTTTTAAGTAATATTAGGTTGGGGGGGGAAGAAATCCATTATTTTTCGGCAGATGGCTGTACTGATAGATTTCTCGTAAAGTTTCGATCAAACTATTTCAGATTTATGTTCGTTGGAAGGGTGACATTTCGCCGTAAAAAAATATTTAAGTGAATAAAGAGAAAATTCGGTACATGTTAAAGTTTTTCTTTGGCAAAGGCGACAATGCAAGCCAAGCCAATTATGTGCAATTTTGGCTTCGTAGATTCCATTCAGGAATTTTTGGTGATAAAGATGCACCTCGCACCGGTAGGCCGGACGTCGAAAATGTCGAAAAACTCGTAGAAATGATCGATGTTGACCGGCCTGTTAGCAGTCGTAACATCGCCCAGAAGCTACAAATCGACTATAAAACTGTTTTAAACTATTTACGCAAAGCTGAATTCAAAAAAGAAGCTCGATGTTTGGTTGCCACACCAATTAACAGAAGAAATAGGATGAATAAAATTTCCATCTGCGAAGCCCTGGCCAAACGGAATGAGATAGACCCATTTCATAAAGGGATGGTGACTGGAGATGAGAAATGGATCACATACGATAACCCTGTGCGAAAACGATCGTGGTCAAAGACCTGTAAAGCACCTCAAACGGTGGCCAAACCAGCACTAACGGCCAGGAAGGTTCTGCTATGAATTTGGTGGGACTGAAGGGGATTATTTATTATGAGTTGCTTCCATATGGCCAAACGACTAAGCCGTTTGAAGGTAGCAATTGACCAGAAATGGTTGGGAAGTTTTAATGCGCCCGAAATACAGTTCGGATTATAATACAAGCGATTATCATATTTTCTTGCATTGCAAAATTTCTTTAATGATAAAAAATGGTATTTAGGGAGGATTGTAAAAATCGAATACTAGAGTTATTATTCGGCATTATGAAGTTTAAAATGGCCACAAATCATACAATAAAACGGTGCAAATTTGGCCCAAATCGGGCATTCCGAAGCATGTTAGATAAAGTCATATAGTTCATATATAGAAATAATGGATTTCTTTTTCCCCAACCTAATATTTTACACACATTACGCTCACTCGATTGTGGCTAGTTTTGCATTACATTGTTTCTTTAGGTCGGACACATTTACCGACCCCTGTATTGGTGTTAAAAAATTCGCATATGTATTTTCCAAATTATTTCGATATAAATGCCAAATTTAAAATATCGAAGAAGAGTTGATACCAGCAACTACTTCAAAAAAAGTTTTAGTGCCGTAGAAAACCCGCCACCACCAAAAAACACAATCCATCTTTTTCTCTCTGACAAGAAACCAGTATTTAGAGTTTTATGAACTGCATTCATAAAACGCAGAAATCCGAACATTGACAACTCTTTCTGAACACTATTCATATAAGAATTATTTTTTTCTGTTCATTCGGTCTGGGATTTAAAAAATTAAAAAAAATAATTTGTCAAGATCTATTATAGGCGTGGATTAAAATATTATTTTTTAACGTATTTTATAGGCGTGGATTTACAAAAACAATTTTTATGCTCTGCTGAAGGCGAGGATTAATTTGTTTTATGTTAATTTATAGACGTGGATTTAAAGACCTACTATATCCGTGGAATTAAAAATAGTTATTATAGTCGTTGATTTTTTAAAAAAATTGTTTTTTTATAAGCGTGGATTTAAAAAAATAGTTATATTATAGGCGTGGATTAAAAAATAGTTATATTATAGGCGTGGATTTTTAAAAAAAATAGTTCTATTATAGGCGTGGATTTTTAAAAAATAGTTCTATTATAGGCGTGGATTTAAAAAAATATTTCAAGGACTATTATAGGCGTGGATTTTTAAAAAAAATAGTTCTATTATAGGCGTGGATTTAAAAAAATAGTTCTATTATAGGCGTGGATTTTTAAAAAAATTGTTCTATATATACCCTCCACCACAGATACATTGCTATTACTCCTAGGATGTTTGGTATTGAAATTAGGATATATCGGACCACGTGTTGGTATAGCTCTCATATAACGGTACCCCATAATATTCGGTATTTTAAAGCTTTTCACCTAATCACCTGTAAGTTGGTATTTTGGGTGTCCTACTAAAAATGATCATCCCTACGTAAATGTTTTACCTCCCAACGTAACACGTCTTTCAACGCAATTGGCTCTAATTTGGTTTTTCATGTTCTATGGGATGCCAAATTTTCAATATCTACGTTTTGGTTGGCTCCCACAGAAAAATTCAGATGTAGAGGAAAAAGAAACTTCTGGCAGACAAGTTACAATGACATAGCGCTCATGTAAATGTTTTTAACCGTCCGGCCGAACTCAACGAATTTCTTATTAATTTGTTATATTACCCAACAGTTAAAAGAAAACAATTTATATATATTGTAGCTATTGTCGGACATGGAATGGAATGTTCTGAAAAGCTTGGCCAAAATTTTGTACACTTCATTGGGCCATTTCCACAATTTGTAACTGGAGATCCCGAGACAGTGAAAGATGTACTGACATCGAAAATATGTTTGAGTAAAGATTATATAACGTATGGTGGACTATATCATGCCTTGGGTGAAGGATTGCTGACTATACAAGGTAAAGCACAAGTATATTATATACCGGTGAAATTGGTCGATAAAAGCGATATCCAATAAAGGACAGGACATTGTCGTTATAAACAATTTCGGTTGTTCTTTGTTTATAGCAAAAGGTTGGCAACAACACAGAAAATTCATGGAACCTGGTTTTAAATTTTCAAAAATTGTGGGATTTTTGCCAGTATTTAACAGACGAATGCCCGGTCTATTTGAGAAAATGGATAAATGTAATGCTATGCAAGATTCGTATAATATTTTGGTTTATTGTCGAGAATTTACCATAGGCATAACGGGAGGTAAGTGATATACATATATGATTAAAATCAGATCTATACATTTTATATTGTTATGTGGTTAATAGAGACAATGATGGGGCGTGATTTGGATAAGTCGCCTACAGTTAATGTAAATTATTATTCTGAACTTATTGCGGGGTAAGTTTAATGTGAGAATTTTTTATTTCCTTATATAGTTTCAGAAAATATACTATACATATTATTACCGCATTTCATATTTAATTATATTGCTTCATGTTTTTTAGCATCATGGAATACATGTCGGAAATAACGTTGAATGTGCTATATCAACCCAAACTAATTCTCAAATTAGCCGATTTAACAGTCTTTCGAAAACAACGAAAAGTATTGGAATTTCTTCAGAAGGAAATTGATGAGGTAAATGATAGCTGTAATAACATTTTGAAATATTTTTAGTGGTTATTATCCGGAGGCGGTAAGGTATTACTTAAATATATGGCAACAAAAGTGAGTAGAAAAAGAATTTATGTTTTAGACAGTATTTGATGTAATTTATTTTGTAACATCTCCATATATTCACCGGAGTATAAATATTATTGATCATTGGAGGTTTGGTATTGAAAACGATGTATAGGTCTGTGGTGAAAACAAATTGGCAAATGTATTATGTATTATAATTTGTATAGGCCCCACATATTACTGCAAAGCTCCATTTTTAGTATTCCGAAGTTTTGCAGCAGAATTGGAGTAGTACAAAACATATTAGTTTGGGGAAAAATAAATCCTTTATTTTTAAATGAATTATAGGACATTATTTAACATGCTTCGGAATGTCCGATATGGGCCATATATGCACCGTTTTATTGTATGATTTGTTGCCATTTTAAAGGTAACTTCATAATGCCTATCTCATAGAAGTCCTGCTCTCTATTTCCAAAAAAACTCTATTAGTCGATTTCCATAATCCTCCTGGATACCAATTTTTTATCATAAAAGAAATTTTGCAATGCAAAAAAAAAATATGATAATGGCTTGGTGCCAAGTCTGGACTGTATGGCGGATGGATTAAAATTTCCCAACCAAGATCCCGAAGTTTCTGGAGAGTCAATGTAGATGTGTGTGGCCTAGCGTTGTCCTAGTGTAACACGACACCTCTCCTAATGGTCAATACTGGCCTTTTCTGGTTAAGTGCTATCTTTAAACGGTCCAGTTGTTGACAGTAGAGATGATAATTTAGCGTTTGGCCATATGAAAGCAACTCATAATAAATAATCCTCTTTCATTCCAATCAAATGCATAGCAGAACCTTCCTGGTTTGGCACCCGTTTGAGGTGTTTCGCCGCTCTTGGACCACGATCGTTTTCGCACGGAGTTATCGTATGTGATCCATTTCTCATCTTCAGTCACCATCCGTTTAAGAAATGGGTCTATCTAATTCCGTTTGACCAAAGCTTCGCATATGGAAATTCGATCCATCCAAACATCGAACTTCCTTTTTGAATGCAGCTGTGTGTAATTGGTTTAAAACAGTTTTATGGTTGATTTTTAGCTCCTGGGCGAAGTTACGACTGCTAACATGCTGGTCAACTTCGATTTTTTCTCCTATTTTTTCGACATTTTCATAATGGATTTCTTTGCCCCAACCTTTATTGGTATTCGGGACTTTTGGAGGTTAAGAGCCCTTTTTAAAACCCCTTTTTAGGTATGTTGGAAGTTTCAGCCGCATATGCCACACTGAAGTGGCTGTAATTTGAGATTCCAAGTTTATGATAAATGAAGCACTTCTTCCCACAAAAATTACAGTTTTCACACCTCGAAATATTCAACGGAGAATCCATAAAGTATATGGGCAATATATAATATAACTCCGGAATTGGTGCACCAACGTCCCTATATATCTTTCAATATTTACGAAATTTGACGTAGCGTTCTGAATTAGACTACAATGATGTGTGTCAAGATACGTTAAAATCGGTTCAGATTCAGATATAGCTGCCAAATATATTTTCGTTCGTGTTTATGTAAATGGTGTACCAATATCTTCCGATTTGCACAAAATTTGGCATAGCGTAGCTAATTAAGTCTAGAATGATGTGTGTTAAGTTTCGAGAAAATCGGTTCAGATTTAGATGTAGCTCCCATATATTTTTCCCATATAATGCTTCGTAAAAATCGATTTAGATTTAGATATAGCTAACATATAAATAGAGCCTAGAATGATGTGTGTTAAGTTTCGTAAAAATCGGTTCAGATTTAGATACATACATATATATGTTCGTCCGATTTAATGTAAATGGTGTACTCAAGTCCCCGCATATCTCTTGATTTGAACGAAATTTGACATAGCGTTCTGAATTATGTCTAGAATTATGTGTGTTAAGTTTCGTGAAAATCGATTCAGATTTAGATATAGCTCCCATATATATTTTCGTCCGATTTAAGGTAAATGGTGTACTAAAGTCCTTGTATATATTTCGATTGGCACGAAAATCTAGAATGATGTGTGCCGGTCGTGGAAAATGTCGATAAAATCGAAGAAATGACCGAAGTTGACCGACATTTAGCACTCGTAACATTGCCCAGGAGATAAACATCGACCATAAAACTGGTTTAAACCACTTACAGAAAAAAATTATAATTGATTTCTTTTTCCCCAACCTAATAGTAATGTAAAAGAGTCCACTCCAAATTCTGTAAGCGTGCGTATTATATAGATTCTAGTAGAGACATCTATAAGCAGATTTTTTTATTGTCATATTTAAGTAAATTTTAGATCACAGTTACCTATATGACAACATTTTTACCTTTTTTCTTTCAGACGTACCGGTATTATTCATCAGATTGTGGAACCGATCCGCAATATTTAGATACCGCTGATAATGTGGTCGCCAAATATATAAACGAAGCCATCAGCAATAACATAATTGATAGGAAATTGGCAATAACCAGTATTATGCATTTATTTGGAGCGGTATTTAAATCAAAATAAAACTTTGTTTGATCTGATATTAATAAAAAATTAAAAATTTCATTAAAAACCCCCTCCAGGCCTTTGAAACCACATCCTCAACGATATATTTCACCATTCTCATGTTGGCCATGCATCCGGAGTATCAGGAGAAAGCGTATACTGAAATATGTGAATTATTTTCGGACAACGATAAAGGGGAATTTGAAATGACTTATCAAGATATCTCCCAGCTGAACTATTTGGATATGTTTATAAAGGAAACAATGCGCGTATTTCCAACAGTTCCACTTTTTGCAAGAAAAGTCTGTGGTGGTGATCTATCACTGAGTAATGGCATGGTTATACCTGATGGTCAGGAAATTGTATTAAATACTTATAACTTACATCGTAATAAGTCAGTATGGGGCCCCCAGGCGAACATATTTAATCCAGATAATTTTCTACCTTCAAATGTTGCCAAACGTCATCCATATGCCTTCGTTCCATTTTCCAAGGGAATACGTTTTTGTATAGGTAAGAAATGATTGTCTAAATAAAGGGAGATGGGTATTTTGTAAATGAGAAAGTTTAAAATAACTGGAGGTTAATGATTAGATCATCCATTATAAGGTGTATTAAATTTGCATTTGCAATACACTTAAATATTCTTCAGAGACTCCGAATAAAATCTATGTAGTTTACCCATGTCCGTCTTTATATCGGTTCATGTTTTGGCATATCCCAAATATAGTACTGCTCCATTTTCCGCATTTATAAAGTCGTCAGCCACATTTTCCACCAAAGTGACTGCAATTTCCAGTTTCTTGAAAGCGGATCAATGTAGGAGTAGCTGTAATTAATCATTCCGGGGGCATACATAGATCCACGCTGAAAATGATCGATATTGGTTAATGCTCATTTAACCCTTTATGACCCAATGTTGACAATGTTGCAAAAATATGGACGACACATATCAAACGAAAAATCTAAAAAATTCAAATTTTTGGTCATGTTATACTTTTTAATACAAAGATGAGTGCAAAAATATGTACAGTACCAATTTGTGTATACAGTCTAAAATATTCAAATCGCTTCGTATCGAAATGTACGAATCGTACCCTCTAAATTGTTTAGTCTTTTAAAAAAGAACATAGAAACTAATTAAAAGGGATTTTTTCATCGATATTGTATTTGCTTTTGTTGATATTGGACTTTTATTGTTCGAAAAGAATGTACTGTGTCTTCCGAATGCAAGGATGTAGCGACGTCAAATTTTCCTCATATCCTATTTAGGATAGTTACATTAAACCTGTGCACAGAAGATAGTTCTATTGGCACGGGTAAAAATTCGGGCCACAACGGGTTAAAGGTACATTTGGAGTTTTCAGCCGCATTTCCCCCAATGTGGATGTAGTTCGGTGTTTATGGAGCAATATATGTCTATATTTGAATATAACACCTATAAAAAAGTTAAGCCACATTTTCGGTAATTTGGAGGTTTTCGCCGCATTTTCCCAGTGTAAAAATTTGGAATTCAAGATTCATCTAGGCATAACATAATCGAATTAGATCCATGCTGGACATATCACTCATATAAAGGACCCTCCCCATTTTCGGTGTTTTTAAGAGTTTGTCGCATTTCCCCGCCGATGTGACAGTATTCAGACTCTTTGGAGGCTAAGAGTCTAAACGCAACCAGAGAATCACGAGTCAGCGTCATACTTTTTCGCCGGCGTAAAAACCAAACGAAAGAGTTAGCGTTAGCGGCACAAAATGTCAATTATTTGTTTTCATTTTCTGACAGAAAATTTTACGTTGTGCAAACCAAAATCAATTTATTATTTAATAAAAAATAATGTCAAGGAACTTGGATGAACTTATTGAAACAATTATTTTTCTTCCATTTTATTATTAATTCGTTAAAAACCATCCACAATCTTTGAAAATATTTGTTTTTTTAACAGCACTGCCATATGTTTTGATATAAATTCTCATTGAAATTTGGTAGCACTGTTGATTTTTACCTAAAATATGGCAACTCAATTGAGAGCAAGAGAGAAATTTTGAGTATGACGCTGAGCAAAAATGAATAAAATCTATTCTAGCGTCATGCCGATAGACGCGAACGTCAGCCGTCGCGATTTCCCGTTGCCTATAAGAAACACACGGCAAACGACTGTCGCTGACCCTAGACTGTATGGTTGCGTTTAGACTCTAACATATGCAGAAAATTACCAATAAAGGTCCATGTTTTTACTTAGTCCGCCTATTAATGTTTCGCAATATTTTTGGTATTTCGAAGGTTTTTTCCGTAATTTTACAAATCGGGTTCTTGAAGATTGAAAACATTTCCGCAGATTTTTTTTAACTACCTCCTTAGTTTGACCGATTTAAAGTTTTTAATATACAACACATGGTGGATGATATAAAGCGTTCGGCTGTCGATCTCAAAGACAGTTTTAAATTTTATAAGTAAGACATGACATGTTCACATTTTATTCTTTTTCTTTCTTTCCAGGAATGCGTTACGCCGAATTGAGTATTAGAGTGGCAATGGCAAAATTAATAAAGCGCTACAAATTTTCAACTACGGCCAAAGTGGAAGACTTAGTGTTATACAATCACATATCACTGCAATTGAGCAAATATCCACCAATTATGGTAGAGAATAGATAACTTCCAAATTAAAAACTAATAATTATAAATACATATATTAATACAATTTATAAATTTAATTCAAGGATATTTTAAAGAACATTTTTCAAAGACATTCAAGGCGTATAGTTTTAAAGAATATTTTTTTCAAAGACCATCCAAGACGTGGATTTTTTAATGAATATTTTTTCAATATTTTTTAAAGAATATTTTCCAAAGACCATTAAAGACGTGGATTTTTTAAAGAATATTTTTTCAAAGACCAGTCAGAGGCGTGGATTTTTTAAAGAATATTTTTTAAAAAAGACCAACAGAGGCGTGGATTTTTTAAAGAATATTTTTTCAAAGACCATTCAAGACGTGGATGTTTTAAAGAATATTTTTTCAAAGACCATTCAAGACGTGGATGTTTTAAAGAATATTTTTTTCAAAGACCATTCAAGACGTGGATTTTTTAAAGATTATTTTTTCAAAGACCATCCAAGACGTAGATTTTTTGAAAGATTTTTATTCAAGACCATTCAAGGTGTGGATTTTTTAAAGAATATTTGTTCAAAGACCATTCAAGACGTGGATTTTTTAAAGAATATTTTTTCAAAGACCATTCAAGGCGTGGATTTTTTAAAGATTATTTTTTCAAAGACAATCCAAGACGTGGATTTTTTTAAAGAATTTTTTTCCTAGATCATTCAAGACGTGGATTTTTTAAACAATATTTTTTGAACCACCATTTAAGGCGTAGATTTTTTAAAGAATATTTTTTCTAAGACCATTCAAGACGTGGATTTTTTAAAGAATATTTTTTCAAAGACCATTCAAGACGTGGATTTTTTAAAGAATATTTTTTCAAAGACCATTCAAGACGTGGATTTTTTAAAGAATATTTTTTCTTAAGTCCTTAAATCTCGTGAGTCACCTGGCATCTATCGACCAGTTTCCAATATCTTTATTGCCATGCTACACAAACAAATAAAAAACCTAAACACCACAAAATACTTCGTATTGAATTTAATAAAAATTATCTCAGGAATGCCTGAACTTCAATTAAAGCCATTATGGTTTATTTCCATTATGGTCCATGGTTCATCTTCGCCAAACAGAATCTCCAGCCATGAGAAATTTTATTATCTCTGTGTCGCCAGACTGCAAATTATTCCCCATCTCATACTCAATGTAATGCCTATAATATTGTTGTTGGTTGTGTTTGTCTTTATGTTGTTGTTGTTTTTGTTGTAATTTACCTTGTTGTAAATTTTATCATAGCTGGCAAATAACATTAGATTGCTGCTGATGTTCCTGCTGTCCAGCTGGGTGGTCCTGTCGCTTGGCCGTATATCTTAGCATTTTATGATGAACCCACACAACAACAACTCGATATCAGCAACACAACAACAACTTTTTCTTGTAATGGAAACCTCTGAACCCGAAGACTAGATGATGATGATGAAATGAAATAGAGCAAGCCAGGAAGGAAGCAAGTCGGCAAGCAAAAAAATTGTGGACGAACCGAACGAACTAATTAAATGGCCACCTGTGTCTACAACTTAATTGAGAATTAATTGGGTTGGCTTCTTCTTCTTTATCATCGTGTTGTTTTTCGAGTGAAAGTATTCAGATTGGAGAGTTCAGGGTTAAGCCATGCCCTCCCTCAGAGGAAGGAGCACGGTGGAGGACGGAAGGTTTAACTTTTCATTAAGGAGTTGTTATTTGACAAGATTTTCTTGCCATTTGTCAACGCTATCAAGAGATATTATGAACACAATGTTGCAAGAAGTTTGCACAGGGTAGTCCTTTTTGACCTTATTTGGCAGGAACATATTTTAATCTATTTTACTATGAAATCTTATAAGCACAAAAGGGGTAGGAAGTCAATTAAAAATTTTGATGAATTTATGACTTTTGTTTTAGAAAAAAGGCTTTTTATTAGTATTTGAGCAATAAAAACTTAACCTTTTCCTTATTTAAAAAATAGATATAGCTATAAAATTTAGCAAATTGTTTCCAATAAAAAAATAAGCTAAACATAATTAAAATTAAAACCATAAAAAGTAAATCTGTTGGCCCATGAGGGGATCGAACCCGCGACCTTCGCGTTATTAGCACGACGCTCTAACCAACTGAGCTAATGGGCCACATGTCGGATGGCTCATACTATTTAATTATCAAACAAGTGTGTGCGTGTGTGACTGCCTACGTCCGTTCATGTCTTAGAATAGTTTTTATTCTATTTTAATCGCATTCTTTAGCCAACCATTAGTTGGACGAAGACACTTTGGTCTCATAAATGTATGTATCTAACAGATACGTATAATATGGTGTGCGTGCGTGTGTGTTCACCACTTTGAATGTTGGGTAGGTCTTCATTGTAGACATGCGATAAGAACCTCATGAAATACTCTTGTCTAGATAATCTTCATGTTGTCGAGGCGCGTGGTCAGTTAGTATCTTTAATCTAATCATAAACATGTTGACGAGAATTAAAATAGATTTCGACAGTGGGTTATTTTTCTACAAAGCAAGGCGAACAAAATTATTTTTGGGATGGAGATTGACAACAAATATCTTAAAAAATCATTTAGGCTTATTTTATCGTTGAAAAAATATAAAGGAATATTTTTTCAACGATAGAATAAGCATGAATGGTTTTATAAGATTTTTGGTGTCAATCTCCATCCCAAAAATAATTTTGTTCACCTTGGTGTAAAAACGTTGTTAACTTCGGTAGGACCGAACTTTATACCCTCACCCATTATGTGGACATTCCAAAAATGTATCTAAAAGGAGTCATGACTTTTATGTGGTCGAAAATTTTTAGCTAGAACCTTGAACGTACCAAAAGTGGGAGCTATGTAGAAACATTATGGAAAATATTCTGTGCAGAAATTGTTTGCCCACAAAGGCCCAAGAATGACAAATAAAACCAGTAAGGAAAATCGTAAAGTCGAACCGACTATATGATACCCTTCATCATTTTGGGTAGATTCTACATATGTATCCTAACAGAAGTCACCTTTTCGAAGGAACATTGACAGGAAATTGAACCAAATTAAAATACATGATCTTTATCTATATGTAAACCAACTAACATCAATCCCTAAATATGCCATTCTGCAACCTATGCTAAATTTTGTAAATAGATTTACAGAAAACTTGACACACGCATGCAGCATACCGAATACTACCCATTGATTATTTCTGTACAATTAGCATGAATGGGTCGAAATTATATATGAAAGCTATGCTAAATCTGAACCGATTTCAAGGAACTTGCTTGAGATTAATTTATATTAATTTAAGAACATTGTGTCAATCGGCCTAGCTATGGGTCTTTAGTGCACCATTTATTTAAAATCGGACGAAAGTATATATAGGAGCTATATGTAAATCTACCCTATACCAAATTTCGTGCAAATTGAAGGATATATATAGGGCTTTGGTACACAATTTACATAAAATCCGACGAAACTATATATGGGAGTTATATCTAAATCTGAACCGATTTTCGTGAAACTTAGCACATATCACTCTAGACACAATTCAGTACACGGTAAAAAATTTCGTGCAAATCGAAAGATTTTCAGGGACTTTGGTGCACCATTTGCCTTAAATCGGACCAAAATATATATATTAGCTATATCTAAACCTGAACCGATTTTCATGAAACTTAGCACACAGCGTTCTGAACTTAATTCAAATTCGTCTAAATCGAGGGATGTATAGGGACTTTGGTACAACATTTACATTAAATCGGACGAAAATATATATGGGAGCTATATATAAATCTGAACCGATTTTCACCAAACTTAACACGCATCATTATACACCCAATTCATTACGCTGTGCCCAATTTCGTGCAAATCGAAAGATATATATTGTTTTTGGTGCACCATTTACATTAAATCGGAGGAAAATATATATGGGAGCTATATTTAAATCTGAACCGATTTTCACCAAACACACATTATTATAAACCTAATTCTATGTGCTATACCAAAATGTGTGCAAATCTAAATATATATTGTCTTTGGTGCACCATTTACCTTAAATCGGACGAAAATATATATGGGAGCTAAATCTAAATCTGACCCGATTTTCTCGAATCTTAGCACACGTCATTCTAGACTCAATTCAATATACTATGCAAAATTTAGTCCTAATCGAAAGAGATATAAGTACGTTGGTGCACTTTTACATTAAATCGAACGTAAATATATATGGGAGCTAATCTAAATCTAAACTGAAAAAATGATCTGTACAAAATTTCATCCAAATCGGATTGTAAATGCGACCTGTACAATGTTTACAATTTAACATCAACGGACAGACATGCATAAATCGACACAGAAAGTGATTCTATGCATATTCTCCAAAGGTCTATTTCTTTCCCTTTTGCCTTCGATGGGATATTGGTTTCACTTTATAATTTTGGACCTCTCTCACTGGATCATACAGATCCTTTCCGACAAGCCTGATCGAGGGAGTTTTATCCAGCATATGAAAATTGGAACGATTCTCTCGGAAGCACTGCAAGAAATTGCTAGGTGACGTAAGGGAAGGATCTTCGTCTTCTGACGATGGTCCACAGGTGTCATGCAGTACTCAGGGCGGCGTTCTGACAAATCTGAGTACTTCTGCATTGCTTAAACGATCTAACGCTTTATAAGAGATCAAAACAGACCCGACGCCATGATCGTATCATCTGAATTCGTAAAGAAAATATATGTTGAACATTTCCGGAGAACGTTTCCAACTTGGTCGGATGGAAGTATTCACAATACCTCAAACCGTGCAACATGATTGACAGGCTTTGCCAGGTCAAGTGCTACCAACATTGTTCTATGACACGGACGTTACTGGTGTAACGCTGTTGTTGTAAAATGTTGCTTTCAGAACTCATACTGATCCGCAAAATGATAACTTTCTCTAATTATGTGAAGAGTATTCGTTACTGGTGACAAATGTGAGATCGGCCTGACTTCAGTAGCGGGACAACCCTGGCCATTTTT